TGAATCGTGGGATGGAAGAAGACCTTCCTCTCTTTCTCTCTTCCCCTCTGTATATCTGCTTTTCCAATACAAATTTTTAAAGATGCTTTTAAAAAAGATTTACTTATTGTATTGAAAAGGCAGATTTACACAGAGATGGAGAGAAAGATCTTCAATCTGCTGGTTCACTCCCAAATGTTCATACCATCTGGAGCAGAGCCAATCTGAAGTCAGGAGCCTGGAGCTTCTTCAGCATCTCCCATGTTGGTGCAGGGTCTAAAGGTGTTGGCCTGTCCTCTGTTGATTTCTCAGGCTGCAAGCAGGGAGAGGGATGGGAAATGGGGCAGTCAGGGCTCGAATCCCATATGGGATCCTGCACGTGCAAGGCGAGGATTTAGTCACTGAGTCGTAACACTGAGCCATTCCTTAGTCTCTTTTAATAAGATAACTGATGAAAAATGTCTTAATATTGGTGAGGTGGAGGGTTGATGTACCTAAAAATATTTTCTTCTGTTGATGAAATGCTGAATTGCATAGTAACTGAGAGTAATCTGATGTACTTAATTTCCGTTTGAATCATTAAGTTAAACCAATTTGAAATTTTTTGGTTACTAATAGGAACCCTTTTTACACAGTAGAGGAACATTTTTGCCTTAATGAAAAATGCTTGTTAGAAGTATTTTTTCTGTTTAGTTATTTGCTTGTTTTATGAGGTGCGCTAATAAAGCATGCACTTTTATTCTGTAAGATTTACTTATTTTCACCCATCACTCAGTTGTTCTGATTTCTGTTTTAATGATCTTAGGTAATGACTATTGTGTGACTGAAGTTCTCGGATCAACTAGCAAAACCTTTGGAACTTGAAGAATCTACTTTGAAAATCGCTGTGGTAGAGAGAAATATTCTGGCTCTGTGTGCTTTGAGCAAGGTGAGGCTTGTACTTCGTTTATAGATTGGATAAGAGCCCAGTGCATTTATGAGAGCAGGCACTTCACTAAGTTGGTGGGCAGCATTGCTTCTGAAGGAGGGTCTGACAGTGAAATGCATGCATGAAGAGACAGAATGGATGGATTTCAGTTCTCGTTAGAGGTTATCTTGTGCTCTGCTGTGAGATTAATGTGATTAATGCTCGTTAGATCATGTGATAGACAATGTGCAAAAGAAACAGCAACCTGCAAATGCCATATTTTGATGAGAGTGTGAGGATAGCTCAACAAGTTTGTGCAAAATTGAATTAAAAGATATTTTTATTTTGGTACAGACAATCGTGAATTTATGCATGAGGTGTCTGTAATGTTGACAAGAATGTAAATGGTAAAACCTGCATGGACTTTCCCATTTTTTTATCATATCAAAATTTCTATTTGAGTCACTTATTTATATGAAAGTCAGAGAGGTGGAGAGATCTCTCCGCTGATTCTCTCCCTAAATGTCTACAAAACACTAGGGCAAGGCGATCCTCAAGCCAGGGGGATGAAACCCTAGGTTCAGTCTCCAACATGAGTTGTAGAGGGCCCAAGACATTGGGCTGTTATCTATTGCCTTCCCAGGGATATTAGCACTGAGCTGGATTGGAAGCAGAGCTGCCATGGCAGTACCCCCTGGATGCCAGTCTGCTTGGCCTGCTCTGCCTCAGTGACTGTCCCCCAAAACCAATTTCAGGGCCTGGTGCAATGGTTACACAGGGTAATTCTCCCATTTAGGCACTGTTTCATTTTCTGGCTGCTCCACTTCCAGTCCAGCTCCCTGCTAGTGGCCTGGGAAAGCCGTGGAGGATGGCCCAAACCTTGGGACTCTGCACCTACGTTAGAGACCTGCAAGAAGCTCCTGGATCCTGGCTTCAGATTGTCAGCTCCAGTTGTTGTGGGCATTTGAGCAGTGAGTGGAATATTTTCTGTCTCTCCTCTGTAGATCTGTCTTAAGGAGTGTATAAATTCAAATATTAATTTCTGATTCCATTTCGTATGAATCTTCTGATGTACAGTGGAGTAGTGTTCTGTGTTGAGCTTGTCATTTTTTTCTCTGTTTCATAAGGTGGAATATATTTGAGGATTCCTGTTACTCTGCAGTCTTATGTGGATATATGAGTTTTACTTGTGCTTGTAAGTCAGGTTAGTGGTTGTGGGAAGCATTATCTCATAGGGTGAGCAATAGCTCAGTAACTAAGTGGGAAGAATTTAGACTAGCATTTGCCAAAATTTGTGTCAACCTTAGAGTGATAATTGGTTTTAATACTTATTTTATTTATTTTTTTGGAAGGTTAGATATACAGCAGGAGAAGTGACAGAGAGGAAGATCTTCCATCCACTGGTTCACTCCCCAAGCACCTACAGTGGTCAGAGCTTCTCTGATCCAAAGCCAGAAGCCTGAAGATTTGTCTAAGTCTCCCACGCAGGTACAGAGACCCATGACTTTTGACTGTCCTTGACTGTTTTCCTAGACCAAGAGGAGGGAGCTGAATAGATGTGGGGTGGCCAGGAGTAGAACTTATTTCTGTATGGGATTCTGGCACATGCAGTGTGAGGATTTTAGCCTCTAGACTATCACTCTGGGATGGAAATCATTTAAAATTATACTTTTAAAAGATGTGTTAATTTTTGTAAATATTTATTCACTTGTTTGTTTATTTGAAAGGCAGTGTTTTCAAAGATTGAGGGAAAGATAGATATTGCTTCTGCTGGTTCACTCTCCAAATGGTTGCAGGGGCAAGACTGGTCCAGGCCAAAGCAAGGAGCCAGGAGCTTCATTGGGGTTTCCCATGCCAGAGGGCATCCTCCATGGTTTTCCCTGGAGCATAATCAGGGAGCTAGCCTGTACCAATACGTTTTTTAAAGATGTATTTATTTTTACTGCAAAGTCACATATGCAGAGGAAGAGAGATAGAGAGATCTTCTGTCCAATGACTCACTCTCCAAGTGATCACAAAGGGTGGAGCTGAGCTGATCTGAAGCCAGGAGCCAGGAAATTCTTCCAGGTAACCTATGTGGGTGCAGGATCCCAAGGCCTTGGGCCATCCTTGACTGCTTTCCCAGGCCACAAGTAGGGAGCTGGATGGGAATCAGGTGTGGCGGGATAACAACCATTGCCCATATGGGATCCAGGCATGTTCAAGGTTAGGACTTGAGCCATTAGGCCACTGTACTCGGACCCTGATGATTGTTGGGTGAGAAGTAGTAAAGACTCCTTTGCAATTATAAATCTGTGGATTCCTCCCTCTCTTCCCTCAGTTTTATATCATTTTTTGGTTTTGGTTTTATATCGTGTATGTAACGGATCTGTTGTCAGGAAAATGTGTATTCAGGGTTTTACTCTTCATGGTGAATTTTCCCTGTCTTTGTTGTGTAAAGTTCATCTTTTCTTCTAGCAGTTTTATTTGCTCTGCAATTTAGATTTTCTGATATGAACATGGACATGTGGTTGTTGTTTCAGAAGATTTTGCTTGCCGTGTCTGTTTTATAACCTTCCTATACACCATTCGATTTGAAGTGACTTTCATGGAGAGGTGTGATTGTAGGATGTGTTGTTTTGAACTAACATGTGTTTTACATGGTGTGTTCCAACTACTGCCATTGCTTTTCAGTTCAATCTAAACTGAACATTTTGTTATGTGTCCCTGTGTTAGAAACTCATCTGATGCACAGCAAGACAGTCATGAGCACTAGGATGGTATTATGTATTTAGCAGAAAGACAGATATAGCTGGGCCCAGCATCATATTTTAGTGGTTAAAGTCCTCGCCTTGCATGCCTGCGATCGCATATTGTCGCCAGGTCTAATTCCGGGGGGCCCGTTTCTCCCAGCTTGTGACCTGGGAAAGCAGTTGAGGAAAGCCTTAAGCCTTGCTTTCTGCACTCATGTGGGAGACCCAGAAGAGCTCCTGTCTCCTGGCTTCAGATTGGCTCAGCTCCGGCCGTCGCACTCACATGGGTAGTGGACCATCGGACACTGTATATTCCTCTCTGTCTCTCCTCTCTGTATATCTGCATTTCAATCAAAATAAATAACTTAAACAGACAGATATATCTCATTTCTCAGACTCCCACAGAGGTTAGGTTTTTAGATCAACACTAGTTGAGCAGGGTGTCTTCCGCTGTGTGTCGTCTCTGGTTGGCCTTCAGTGGTTATGGGTTTCATTTTGTCAGCATTCAGAAAGCCAGTGTTTCTGAGGATGCTGTGCTGACAGATTGAGCACCTGTCAGCCTGGGGCATGTTAGTGGATCGTGATTGCTTCATTTGATCAGGGCGTAGGGTTCTTGAGCAAAAGCTCAAAGTGAGATCTAGCATGGAGATATTTACTATAGAGGTGGGAATTGAGTTCTGAGTCTTGAGATTCATGTTGCTTTCTTTTTGCCTATAGTGGCAGTTTTAGGCATTAATTCTAAAATGTTGTGTTCTCGTTTCTATTCATTTTTCTTTCTCTTCTGGAACTTCATTAACATCGTGGTAGCCAATTGGGATTGTCCGGCATGTATCATAGAGTTGTAATATTTCCCATCTCATTTCTTCATATTGTTCATAGTTTATGCTTTAGTGCAACATCTTTGTTTTTCTGCATTAAATGTTTAAAAATTCATTCATTCATTTTTTTTTTTCTTGAAAGGCAGATGTTGCATAGAGAAGGAGAGACAGGGTGATCTTCCATGTGCTGGTTCACTGCACATAGGGCTGTGTTGGCCAGATCAAAGCCAATTTGAAGCTGGGTGCCAGTAGTTTCTCCCAGGTGTTTCACATTGATCTAGCAGGGTCTCAAGGACTTGGGTCATGCTCCATCCCTTTCCCAGGCCAGAGCAGAATGCTGGATCAGAAGTGGAGCATCTATGTTACAAACCAGTGCTGCTAATGGATGCCATTACCGAAGGGACCAAGGATTAGATTGAGGTGCCATGGTGGCTTCCCTGAGTTCATGGATTTTTTGCTGGGTACCTGTATTCTGCTATCTACAAGATCTGTGAGGTGTGTATTTTTAACTATTCATTCTATTTATGTGGTTATTTATTCATTCTTTTGTTTTATATGACAGACAGATCAACTGAGGAGGAGAGAGGTCTAAATTTGTTCCACTCTGCATTTGGCCACAATGGCTGTGGCTGAGACAGTCTGAAGCCAAGAAGTAGAAGCTATCTCCTGTTCTCCCTTGTGGTTGTCGGGGTTGAAGGACTTGGCATTCCTCTGCTCTTCTGTCCAGGAACTGGATCCAACATGGAGTACCTGAGACATGAAAGGACACCAATATGTGACACTGGTACCACTGGCCGAGACTTCTGCAAGAGCAGCCACTTGGCTAACTGCTATAATCTACTCTACTATACCTTTCTGGAGCCTTGGATGTCACACAGCTCTTGGTGTGTGCAAACTGGGTAGCAACCAGCTTCAGGCCCTGGCTGGTGAATTCCTTGACTTGAATCTGAGACTCAGGGCTGCAGAAGCATCTGAAGCTGCAGATCTCCAGATGCAGAATGGAGACCCTTCTTGGTGAGTGATGACATCTCTTCTTGTTTCCTGTTGTGATTTTTTTTTCTTCTGGTTTTGCTATGCCTTTCTAATTCAATTATTTGTTTTGTAATATTTTATGAAATGTGTGTACAAGCCCAGGAAGTCAATTATATAGTGGACAAGGATAATAGAAACAGAACATGAGAAGGAAGAAAGCTGGGAATTCAATCAGGTCATTGAATCTTCTTCAAAATCTGCCAGAGCTATACAGGAAAAAAGGCATTTTGTTGTCTCTTAAGCATGTTATTTTTCATTTAGAAAATGAGAAGGCCCTTGTTAGCACTGTAAATATAATTGTGAGCATTAACATTAACATTTAGATTTAATGTATGTGTATTAAAATTTATAGCAGTTCATCACTACACCATGGGTATGCTTCCCAAATGAATATGTCATCATGTATGAAACACAAGCTTATATATTTTTTCCTCCTTCACATCTTTATATGTAGTCACTTGGCAGTGCAAGGCAGGCAAGAAGAACTGGAAACTGAGTCTGGGTATACACAAACCCAGACATGCAGCCTTTCATTATTTTCTGATACCCTTGATTTTCTTCCCACTGGAAAAGTTTATAAACCTTGGGATTCATTGGAGGGAGAATTTTTTCAGAAGCAAATTTTAAAATTCAAATTTGAGACTCTGAACAAACTAATTTCAGACATGAAAATGAAGGCAAAGTTCAAAGAATCGGGAACCTCTCATCTAGAAAGTCAATTAATACTACTGAAATGTCCTGGAGTAGGTCAAAACAGGTGAAAGTGTTAATGTTTGAATAAACTTCCATGGGGATGAGAAGGAGTGCTGTTTCCAGAGGTAGAATCTTCCTGGAGTTCATTAAAACTTGAAAGTTGGAGATGGGAATGATGGAAGGTATACCAACTTTTTGAATTTGAGGTGCGAAGGAGAATCTTTGAGCTGTCATGATTATAAAGTTCAGGAAGAAATTAGAGCTAAATGACAAGAGCAAAGAGTGAATGATGCATGTGCAGCGTCAGGACACTGAGAGGGCAGAGGCTCTAATGCTGTGTATGCTGGAGATGATGTTCTCGGGAGCAGAAAGGCTCATGTTTGTTGATGACTTCTTATGTTGGGACCTTTTCCCTGATTTGCATGCCTGTGTCATGATAGGCATATAACAAGGGGAGGCATTGTTTCCCCTGCCTGACTCCAATAGCTCTTGAGAAGCTAACTTGGTGTATGTGTAACTATTCACATTGCTGTCTGCACAGGAGCCTCTTAGTCAGATGCCCTCTAGTGAGAGAGCTCAAGAGCTCCCTTCTGTTAGCCCAAATGCCTGCAGTGGCCAAGGCTGGGCCAGGCTAAAGCCAGGAGCCAAGGACTCAGTCCCAATCTCCCACATGAGTGACACTAATTTCACCCTTGTGCCATCACCTGCTGGATCCCAGAGTCTGCATCAGCAGGATGGTGAGGATCCATGACCTCAACCAGGCTCTCCATCTGGGATGCAGGTTAAGCAGCATCTCAGTTGTTAGGCCCAATGCCTGCCCAGAAACCAAGAGTCTTAGTACATGGACACTTAATTTAGGTTTTACATTTACAAAGATACTAAAAGTAACTGAGACCACTTGATTTAAGACTACTGTACATTGGACCAAGGGATGAAAAATAATGTGAACGTGGATACACTTTGCAAGGTGAGCATTCATGGATCCAATTAGAGTCTAGAATTTCACTGATGTTTGATAATTTATAAGAAACAAGGTAAAATAATGAGTCAGTCCATTGTGTTGATCACTATTTCAGGAGGATTAGCACAAAGGCAGACAGTGAATAGTTTCATACTTCAAAAACCAAACTGAGACCCAGCACAGTAGGCTAGTGGCTAAAGTACTCCCCTTGCACATATAAGGATCCAGTATGGGTGCTGGTTCTAATCCCAGCGTCCAGACGGCCTCACTTCCCATATAACTCCCTGCTTGTGACCTGGGAGTTTTTAGGGACATTTGCAGTATGAACCCTTAAATGGGGAAGATAAGCCCCCTCCACATTTCTGAAAAGTTTTTTTAAGGAGTAAACCATGGGCCCACCGTGGTAGTCTAGTGGCTAAATTCCTTGACTTGCCTTCCATCCAGCCGTGTTTAAAGAGCATTTCAGAATACACACAGAGACAGGCAACATCTGGACACATCTCTAAGGTATGTATGAACAATGGCAATGAATTGGTGATTGAGTTTATTCCTTTAGTTGCATGTCTTTGAAGGGAAGGGTAGAAGCTTTTTGTTAATGTTGATTTATTTTTGGGTGTAGTGGTTAATGTCCTCACTTTAAACCCACCAGGATTGCATATGGGCGCCGGTTCTAATCCTACGGCCCTGCTTCCCATCCAGCTCCCTGCTTGTGGCCTGGGAAAGCAGTCAAGGACGGCCCAAAGCCTTCAAATCTTGCACCTGCGTGGGTGACCAAGAGGAGGCCAAGGCCCCTGGGTTTGGATTGGTGCAACTCTGGCCATTGTAGCTGCTTGGGGAGTGAATCATCAAATGAAACATCTTCCTTTCTGTCTCTCCTCCTCTGCACACATCTGCCTTTCCAGAAAATAAATACATCTTTTGTAAAAGTTCAGGAATAAAAAGAATTGAAAAATAACTACAGTTTTGTCCAAAAAAGCTGAAGTCAGTGTGTATAAGAAGTCTGCAGTAAGTTCACAGAAATGTGAATTATTAAACCAAGCAGAGTTTTCCCACATTATTCCACATTTCACAAATGTTTGAAAGTAGCGTGATTCATCACAGAGATGTCATTTACTGTGTTGTAGTTGGATAGTTTTGAGATATTTGTTACTATGATCTGCACAGCTATGAAGATTGCTTTAGATGTGGATGGTTGTACCTAAGCATTTCCTTTGGTTTGTGTGGCAGTTAGAACTCGTGCAGCATAGGAGTGCTGCTGTGGTGCAGTGGGTGAAACCATGGCTTACACCACCAGCATTCATACCAGTGCCAGTTTGAGTCCCAGCTGCCTCACTTCCCTTCAGGCTGCCAGCAGGGGAGCCTGGATCCCTGGCACCTGTGTGGGTAATCCAGAAAAAACGCATGGTTCGTTAGGACAGTAAATGAGCCAGGAGTGAAGAGAAGTCATCTTTGGTTTTGTCTCCCCTTTTCTCTCTGTATTTTAAAAATACATACTTATATTCATGCTTTCTCTTGTTAATCTTCCCCTAAGTTCTATGTATTGTTTTTCAAGATTTATTTATTTTGTTGGAAAGGCAGATGTACAGAGAGGAGAGACAGAGAGGGAGATCTTTCTGTCGATCATTCACTCCCCAAGTGGCGGCAACGGCTGGTGCTGTACTGATCTGAAGCCAGGAGCAGGTGCAGGGTCCCAAGACTTTGGGCCATCCTTGACTGCTTTCCCAGGCCACCAGCAGGGAGCTGGATGGGAAGCAAAGCTGCTGGGATTAGAACTGGCACCCATATGAGATCCCAATGGGTTCAAGGTGGGGACCTTAACCATTACTCTATCATCCGGGCCCAGTTCTATGTAGTATAAATTGCCTTTGACTATGTGCATGACTCCACTGAATCTACTCCAGGAGACACAGTTACTTTCCTCTCACATTCCATATTGACGGGCAAATCTTTGGCCACTGTGTTATTTGATTTTACATAGCACTTGAAAGCATTGAGTGTTTTTAAGCCTGTTCTTCATAATGCAATATTGTTGTGTTATCCTCCGTAATTTTCTATTCAAAACAATTTTTTTCACTGTCAACTAAGAGCTCACCTATTCTAAAGAACATTTTTCTCCTCCAGATGATCATTTCTTTGATAAGGATTTTTTTTTGACTTAGCATCTGCTCCCTCTATTATTTTTCAAATTTAGTTGTGATAGCAGTTGATGACTCCACAATCCATATCTGGAATCTAGACTGCTCTCTTGGTCCCCATTTAATCCTATCATAGTCTCCACTATTATGCCGCCAGAATGTCAAACTTCACCATTGCTAACACCCCCCTGACACAATAATCAAAACAGATTCTCGTTTTTTTCTATGAACTATAATGAATTTCTGCACCATAGTGTGTAACCTGATATGAAATAATAATGCTTTTAATTTTTCCCTTGCTTTCATGCACCAATGCATATATCCATGCATTTCTACATATTAAATATTTCCAACTATTTCCTCTTAATTATTTCTGTAATAATGCTAGTTTGGACAGCTGTTGTCATCAACCTTAATTTCTCCCATCTTCCCAAAACCATTTTCAAGTCTTTGCTGGTTCTTTTGTCAAAATCCATTCACTACTTACTGCTTCTTCCTCTCACTCTAAATTCTCAAGGAATCTCTTTTGGTTTTAATTGGGACCTACCATTTCTTCGCATGATAGTAATTCTTTCAGGGAGGTAGACATTAGTCAAATGGTGAAGATACTGCCTTGGACACCTCCATGCCATGGTGGAGTGCCTGGCTCTATTCCCAAACCTGGCTTTCTGATAATGCTCAACACAGAAGCCTACAGGTTATAGCTCACATAGCCTATTCAATGCCACCCACATGGGAAAATGGACTTGAGCTCCTGGCTCCTGGTGTTTGACTGATATAGCCTGTGGTAGTGTAGGTATTTGGAATGTTATTTAGAATTTGGCTCACGCTCAGTCTCTCTTTCTCTCCTTCTCTGCCTCTCCATTTACAATAAATTTAAAAACTAGAATTTACTTTTAAACATGTTGAAATAATTCACAAGATAGCATAACTGTTCAACTCATTTTCAGGTAATTTTCACATGATCATCTAATCTCCTTGCACCAACATGGCAATAACTCTATTTCATTTTTAATAGTTCATCCATTTAAAAAATTAGGCTTTCACCTGAACTCCTTAAAAATTAATTATTTTCAAAGCGTCTGTGCTTTGGCTGCCACATAGGGTTCTCGATCCGAAGAAAAATTCTGAAAGATTTTTGTTGAATGAATAAACAAAACAATAAGAGACATGGAAGAAGTTTTTTAAAAAGCAAATGTAGTGTACAGTTTTTCAAAACCGATATGAAATATGTCAAAACTGATAGAACACATTTTATTTGTACAGCAATGAAAACCTAAAATTGCATGTCTGTAAGTGGGCCTCCAGAGCCCAGTGCAACAAGGAGCCCCACAGCCCCTTCCGGCCACACAGAACTTCCCAGGGTGAGGAGAGGAAGCACAGCAGGGCGCCCTGGTGTCCAGGAGGAGGAAGAAAAGGGTCCCCAAAGGTGGGGCGTCCAGCGGAGGAATCCTGCGTGGTGCTGACGCGGAGGGATTGGCCGCATGGTCACTTCCTGTGAGATGCTGCGGCCCTGCACCCTCAGTCAGTGAAGAGCCAGTGGAGAAAGAGGACAAGTCACTGGGTTCTCCAGAGAACTGTTCTCTTGCAAGAGATGCTCTGCGGGTTCCGGCTCCGGGAGAGGACGTAAGGGCTCATGGACTCCAGCTGAAAATCATCCTGCCTGCTGTCCACCTGCCCCCCACCTGGGGAGGGTCTCTCAGTGGCCGCCATGGTGGACATGGGGCCGGCTGTGTGCGAGTTGGTGCCTGGTCCCAGAGTGCCTGGTCTTTGAGCCTCGCTGGAGGACTTCATAGACCCACTGGGCTTCATCAGCACCATCCGACCTGTTACTGAAAACAAGGACACCTACAAGGTAAGACCCCCAAGGTCCAGGGGTCCAGGAAGGGGAGGTGGCAGCTTGGCCTTAGCACCTGTGTGGGAGTGCAGGTGGCAGCTTGTCCCCAAGAGCATGGGTAGTTTGGCCATCTCAATCACAATGGTGCAGGAGTGGAGGTGGCTGCTTGCCTTCCTGCGGGGCTTAGGAGGACGGGCCGTGGCTTAGCAATCAGTGAGGGTTCCAGGAGGCGAGGTTGCAGCTTGGCAATCTGCATGGGGTCTAGGAGGCCAGGTGTGGCTTGTCCCTAAGTGCAGGGTCCAGGAGGCAGGTGGTGGCTTGGTCCTTGGTGAGTGTTCCTGGAGGGCAGGCAGTATCTTGGCCCTTTGTGCATTGTCTGGGAGGGCTGGTGGCAGCTTGGTCATTGGCATGGTCCATGAAAGGCATGAGGTTTCTTGGCCCTCGGCATGGGTTCCAGAAGCGCAGGTGGCAGTTTAGTCCTCTGTCCTGGATGGGGAAGTGCAGGTGGTTGCTTCACCATCAGCATGGGGGCCATGAGGGCAGGCTGCGGCTTTGCACTTTGTGTGTTGTTTTCTGGGAGGGCTGGAGTCTTTGGTGCAGAGATGAGAGGGAAGCTGGGGCCTGGCACTCAGTGTCGTCTCTGGGTAAGTGGGCACGTGCCTCGGTTCACACTGTCCTGCAGGCCTGCTCCACTTGTCCTTGGGCCGTCCTCATTTTTCCTTCTTTCTCTCTCTCTCTTTCCTTTTTTTCTTATTTTAGTTAGTGGTGTATCAGTGTTACTTATTTTTCAATAAATCTGTTCTTCATTGATCTTTTATCGTTTTTCTATTTTGTTTATTCTCTAATTTCATTCCTCCTACTAATTTTGTGGTTCTTGTTGTTTATCTTTTATCTTGATGCCATTTATCTGATACCGTTCAGTTTCTTAGTGTAAGCGCTGGCTGCCATAAAAGTCCCTGTTAGCACTGCTGTTGTTGTGTCCCTTCAATTCTGATGCATTGTGCTATCTCCATTTGTTTACAGGAAGCTTTTGATTCTCCTTGATTTCTTCTGTGGCTCTTTGCTTAGGAGCAAGTTGTTAAGTCATTTGTGAGTTTACATATCTTTCAGATATTTGTAGGTTGTTAATTTCTCACTGAATTAGATTGTGATCAGAAAAGAGAAATGATATGGTTTCATTTTTTAAAAATTTATTGAGACTTTTGCTTTATATCTTAGCAGTGAAGCATGCTGAAAAAATTCCATGTGCTGATGAAAAGGATGTTTTCTGGAGGTGTGGAATGAGTTCTCTCAGATGGCAATGAAGTTCTGTTAGTCCACAGTATAGATTAGCTCTGTTGTTTCTTGGCTGATTTTCTGTTTTGTTGATCTGTCCACTGATGGGAGTGAGGTGTCGGAGGGGAGGGGACCGCTCCTTGCTGTCAAACTGCATCAGCTTCCAGGGATAGGAGATGGCTCTTTGATGACACCTTAGAGACCCCGATGTGAGGAAGAACATTCCCAGACTGTTGCTTGAGTGATTTGGACAGTTCTGACACATTGTTAGCTTTATTGCCTCATGGTTGAGAAGATCTTTTCCAGTTTCGCTGGCTGCCCAAGCCCACCTTAGTGCATCCACAGACCCGAGTACTTGCTGCAAGCTTGGTCAGGAGAATGGTCTGATCTGTTCTGCTTTCCATTTCCTGATGTGGCACTTGATGTCCCCAGCTGGCCCAGATGAACTGTGCAGTGGGGTACACTCTCCAAACATTGCACAGGCCTCAGCACCTGAGGAGGCCCCGTCCCCATTCTTGGGCTTCCATGAGTTTGTTTCTCTGCTTTTGAGTAAGCTCATGCTTGGTATTTTTAATTGCTTTTACGGCAACTTACCAATCTCTTGTAAGGAGAGAAAGGGAGGGAAAGAGAAGCAGGAAATTGGATGCCAAGTATAGCAGCTGGAACCTGAAACTGTCAGCTCTATGGGATCCTAGTGCTTGCAAGATGAGGATTTAGCCAATGAGCCATTGTACCAGGCCCTGGATCTCTCTCTATATTTAAGATTCACTTATTTTTATTGGAAAGAGTAGCACAGAGAGAAGGAGAGACAGAGATCCTCCATCCGTCATCCAATTTGCCAAATGACCATAATAGCTGGGGCTGAGCCAGTCCTTCTGGGTCTCCAGCATGAATGCAGGGGACCAAGGACTTGATCCATCCTTTATTGCCTTTGCAGCCACAAGCCAGGAGCTGGATGGGCGGTGGAGCAGCCAGGACACCAGCTGGCACCTGTTTGGGATGCCAGCGGCACAGGTGGAAGCTTAGCCTACTGTGCCATGGTGCTGGCCACCAAATCATCATGTTTTAGTTGAGTTTTTGTTTAAGTCACTTATTCCAGTGATTTGTTTTCCCTGAAAATTTCATTCTCTTTTTCATTTTCTGGATGAGTGGTTTTCTAGATAAAAGTAGTAAAAAGAGTTTCTGGTAATATTCTGGTTAAAGTGTATGTGAGGGCTACTGTTGTGGCGCAGTGCGCTAATCTACCTTCTGTAGTGCCGACATCCCACATGGCCATGTTGCTGTTTCCTCAGTTATCTTTGCTGCTCACTCGAGACCAGCTGTTTTAAGGTTAGCTAGTAGCCTAGAACCTCTGGGGCTTTCCTTTTGCTTCATCCTGTGTTGCAGGTCTTTGTTTTCCTTATGATTTTGCTGGATCATATGTTCTAGTATAATGAGGAAGAAGGTCAGTGGGAAGTGAAGTAGAAACTTGCTTCTTGAGGCCTGTGTGGTGTTGTGGATGAAATTGCTGCTTTTGTTGCCAGTGTGAGTCCTGACTGCTCTGCCTTCATCCAGCTGTCTGAGAATGACCTGAGGGGAAAAGTTGAAGATGGCCCAGTTCCTTAGATCCCTGCACCCATGCGGAGGCCCAGGTGGAGTTCCAGCTTCTGGCTTTAGTCTGGCCATTGTGGCCATCTGGGGAGTGGACCACTGGATGGAAGAAACGTGTCTGTCTCTTCCATGTTTGTTGCTTTTAGTTTTAAAATGTACACATACATGCATATTTAGTAAAAAGAATCTTGCTTTTGTGGAGAGCTTTTGTAATGGTGTGAGACTGAGTTGGTTTCGTGATAAGTAGAGCTGCTGCCTGCACAGCCGCCACCCCGTTGTTCAGGTCCTGGCTGTTCTACTCCATCCAACCCCTGCTGATGGCCTGGGACAATCACCAGAAGATGGCACAGGTTCTTGAGCCCTTGTCGTCTATATGGAAGACCTGGGTGAAGCTCCTGTGGATGGAAGAGCTCTTCTCATTTCACTTTTGAATAAGAGTATAGATTTAAAAAATTAAATTATGAATCATTTTAGTTCAGTAAAATGATGTGAAAGTTTGTTTCTTCGTTTCCATGATTGCTGCTGAGAGTGTTGCTGTGTTAACCCATTGTGACTTATTTGTAATTTATTTGAGTGGCAGAGAATCCAACAGGGAGACCTCCTTCCACTGATCACTGTCCACACGTCTGCAGTTCCTAGCGCAGGGCCCAGCCACATCCAGGAGTCAGGAACTCAGTCTGGGTTTCCATGTGAATGGAACCTGGCAGCTGAACCTCATCGGCTGCCTTTTATTTTGTATAGTATGAATAATTTAGTTAGAGACAGAAATTCGTCTGGTGTTCAAACCAGACAAGAGGTACACATAGAGTAAATCTGTTAAATGTCTAGTTTCAGTGTAGGCACTCTAATGTGAATTAAACTTTAGAGTTTAAAACTTTTGAGAGAGGGTTCAGTATGGTAGCCTAGTGGCTAAAGCCTTTGCCTTGAATGTGCCAGGATTCCACATGGGCGTTGGTTCTAATCCTGTTAGCCCTGCTTCCCAGCCCCTCTGCTTATGGCCTGGGAAAGCAGTTAAAGATGGTCCAAAGTTTTGGGACCCTGCACCCACATGGGAGACCCGGAGGAGGCTTCTGGCTGCTAGCTTTGGATAATTGGCTCAGTTCTAGCCGTGGCAGTCTCTTGGAGAGTGAATCAATGGACGGAAGATCTTCTCTGTCTCTTCTCCTCTCTGTAAATCTGACTTTGCAATAAAAATAAATAAGCCTTAACAAACAAACAAACAAGAAAAACTCCGTGAGAGGGACTGGCATGAGGGCTCAATGACTAAATGCTCACCTAGAAGTGCCAGGATCCCTTGTGGTTGAGTGTGTGTCCTAGTGGCTCCACTTCTCATACAGGTCCCCACTTGTGGTCTGAGAAAGAGGAAGAGGGTGGCTCAAAACTTTGGGACCTTATCCCCCTGTGGGAGAGTGAGAAGAAACTTCTGGCTCACCTCAGCTGTGGCCATTATGGCCATTTGGGTAATGATTCAGTGGAAGAACATCTTTTTGCCTCTATTTCTCTGTAAATCTGATCTGCTTTTCCAAGAAATAAAGTTTTTTTTTTTTTTTTTTTTAATTAAATTACTGTTTTGGAAAGTCAGATATACAGAGGGAAGGAGAGACGGAGCGAAAGATATTCTCTCTGCTGGATCACTCCACAAGTGGCCAGAACTGAGCCAGTCTGATGCTAGGAAATTCTTACATGTCTCTCACAAGGGTGTGGGCTGTCTTTGACTGCTTTCTCAGGCCAGAGGCAGGGAGCTGGATGGGATGTGGAGAGGCCAGGGCATGAATCAGTGCTCATATAGAATCCTGGCGTGTGGAAGTCGAGCACTTTACCCACTAGGTTGTCACTCTTGGCCCAAAAATAAATAAATCTTTTAACCCAAGATTTATTTATTTTTATTACAAAGTCAGATATGCACAGAGGATGAGAGACAGAGAACTTCTTCTGCCTGATGGTTCACTCCCCACATGACCGCAAAGCCTGGTGCTACGTGATCCAAAGCCCATGGCTCTGAGCCTCTTCCAGGTTTCCCACACGGGTACAGGATCCCAAGTCTTTGGGCCATCCTCGACTGCTTTTCCAGGCCACATTCAGGGAGTTGGATGGGAAGCAGGGCTGATGGGATATGAACATACACCCATATGGTATAGCAGCTCATACAAGTCTAGGATTTTAGCCACTAGGCCACCATGCTGGGCCCAATAAACAAATCTTAACAAGAAAAGCCACAAAGAAGCCTTAATAATCATTATCCATTTTTGTTTGCCTG